GAAATCCAGACATTGCCAAATGTTTACCAAGGGGTACAAATGGCCTCAGTGGAGAACCTTTAGTTTGGTGCAAATAAATCTTTCCTTAAGGTATATTGGCTAGATGGGTTCTGATATGACTGCTTGGCTAACCCACTTAAATATAATTAAATTTTGCCAAAATGAATCTAACCCCCCCATTGATGGTTAAATGCATTTCTCTATTTCATCTAACTTTTAGATGTTCTTGGCATATTCTGAATGGGGCAATCAGTGACTTCTTTATATAGGCCACAATTCCTGGGAAATCTCAGTAAGTTGTCAAAAGAAATCTGAGTCTGATGATTCAGCTTTTAAGTTCCCAGTGATATCTTCTTGCTTCCTAGACTAAATAACTCTCCAAGTCCTTTCCATTATTGGGTAAAGAAAGTGACAGCAGATCTGGGCTTTCTTGTTCTTGTTGAAACTCTGGTAGACTTTTTAGATGGCTGTCTAAGGAATTTTTTTCTTAGTGGCAATTCTTTCCTCCACTCTGCCCAAGAATATGAGATTTTTTCCCATCACCATTAATTAATAATTCTTGTGCTGATGATTTTTTTAATGCCTCACATGTTTTGAAAGGAGTCAGATGTAGAACTACATAAGCTGTCTACATATTTATGTGGGGTGTGGAGTCATTTTCTCAAACAGAAAGCACAGAAGAGAGAGGCCATGAAGCTTTTTAACAGGAGATTCACTCCTGCTTTTCTTCTGCTTAAAAAGATCACAGTAGTAATCACAAGCCCAAAGTGACAGTCTTATAATCTACGGTCTCAGTGTGGTTTAGGCAAGCCTGTTATACAAGATAACAATAGAAATCAACTTTCTGAAAGTACAGAAGCTCAAACGAATATATAATACAAAAGAGTATGTTACTAGTTTTTAGGAAAGGTACTTTTATACTTATCTTGTTTAAAGGAATGCTGACTTTCCCTATTTTCCCTTCAGCTGAAACAGACAATCACTCATCAAAAATAGACCTAGTAGTACAATTATCTTAGCTATTGGTTCATTGAAAACAACAGTTAATGCTTAACTTTTTTGGATCCATTTTGCGTGCCTATATCTAATAATCTGAACTACTACTTTGACAGTGACAATATGCAATATAATAACCATTGTTGATTTTCTACCATCTTGTTTTGAAATTCTGTATCATTTTAAAGGGTTTTAAAAAATTTTTATTCTCATTAAAATAAAAAAAGACCTATTTTTTAGACAGTTCACTGTTTTAAAATTACCTTCCTTTTTGCTTTCAACCAATAAAAGAAACAGGCTTTGGAGTTTTATTCTCACTTTATAAAGTGAAAACTCTGAACAAAATACACAGAAGAACAGTTTTCATAACACTGGATTCTAGACAATGGAAGACAGTGACCCTTGAGCACTAGGAAAGAACTGAGGTGAACTCTGTCGTTTTTTTACCTTCCTTCTCGGGAAACCTCTGAGCTGTGGTTCAAGGAGAGGAAACCCTGAGGCGCTGACCTACTCCCAGAGTTGATGAGCTAGAGCTGAACAGCTGGGAGCCCGGGGAGGACAGAGGCACCATGCAGAGTACCAGAGGCACCGGGGTTGTACAAAAGCCACCTGAGATCTTACAGGGGTCCTTCTCGTACACTCTACAGAGTACTGGTTAGTGTGTGAATGTGAGGAAACTCCCCGAGCCCTAGGGGAAGGAGAGCAGCACATCTAACGTCCTTGAAGAAAGAAATATCTGACTGTCATGTAGGTCTTGATAGAAAAGAATGTCTGTTTCCATCAGGCAGACTGGAAAAGTTACAAGTTTCCAATGGGGAGAGTATTCAAAGCATTCTTACCTTAATGATGAAACACAGTAATCCCTGTATGAAACATTGCTCTGAACTTGGCTAATAAATCTTAAATCAAGACTTGAAAGGAAAAAAAAACCCAAAAAACTATTTCCAAGTAACTTAATTGCATCCCAGAAAAAAGGTCAAGAATTTTTAGGAGAATATAAAAATATCCAACATTCAACAAAGTCAAGTTTACGACATCTAACATCCATTCAAAAATTCCTAAACATGAAGTAAAGCTGAAAAAATATGACTATAATTATGAGAAAAATCCGTCAAAACTGATCATTATGCACTGGAAAAACTGATTTACAATTAGCAGGCAAGATTATTAAAACAGTTATTTTAACTATATTCTATGTGCTCAAAGGTTACATTGATACCTGGAAGTTGAAACATAACTAAATTTAACTTCTAGAGAAGAAAATTATAATATCTATGATGCAAAATACGCTGGCTATGATTAACAAGAGGCTGGACATTATAAAAGAAAAGATTAGCCAATTTGAAGGCATGTAGAAATGCAAAAATAAACGGAAACAGAGGAAACATTATTTATATCCATGCATCACCAGTAACCTTTGGGAAAAAATTCAAACATCTCAACATACATGGTCTTAGTCTCTGAAAGGGAGACGTGTAGAGAAAAAAATCTGAAAATGTATGGAAATTTTCTAATTTTAATGCAAACTATAGATCCATAGATCTGAGATTTTTGTGCAGCAAACTCAGAGTACAAGAAATATAATGAGATCAACAAGGGAAATCAGTACCAAATTATTTAAAACTAATGATGCAGGAAACACTTAAAAGCAGCCAGAGTAAAAAAATGTTATACACAGAGGAATTAAATAAGTATGACAGGCGATTTCTCATCAGAAGCAATGCAGGTCGGAGATGGTGGGCAATGTGTTTAAAGTACTGAAAGGAAAAGCAAATAAACAAAGAAGCAAAGAAAAAAAACCAAGACTTTCAATCTAAAATTCCATATTCAATCAAAATAGCTTTCAAATGCAAAGGCAAAGTAAGGTTTTTTTTTTTTTAAACATGCAAAAGCTTAAGGAATTCAGTGTCAGTTAACTTAGAGCATAGACATGTTAAAATCCTCAGGCGGAAGGACAGTTATATCAGATGCAGTCTGGACCTACAACAGAGAAATGAAATCATATCCAATGATTACTTTGTGACACTTGTGTTGGACTTTTGCCGTCTGTCTTCCCACATTCCCTAATCTGGAACATGAGTATACGCCAGGATGTGGAGGAGGAGCACCATCCAAAGGACTGGAAGAGGCACTGAGCCACATCCCAGCCCCCTCCCCCTTTTCTTAAGATGGGATCTCACTAGGTTGCTAAATTGCTCGGGCTGGGCTTCAATATGCCATCCTCCTGCCTCAGGCTCCCAGAGTGCTGGGAGTAATGGAAAGTTTCACTTTCCATTCATATGGTGGAAATGTGCCACCATATCCAGCAAGGCTATTTGTTTTTAAGTGTTTGTGTTTTTACATTTTTCTAACACTATAAATTGACCTTTCCTTAACTAATGCAATTATTTTTAAAGCTGTAAAGTTATGCCTTTTATATTAAGATCTTCAGTTTACTTGGAATTTGTTTTCACATAAAGACAGAGTTAATCAAGAACATTCAAGAGAAAGGCCATCTTTCTCTCATAGTGTGAAATGCTAACTTATGGATTTCACATATCTAGCACCTATTTAGGACCTCCCATGCTCTTTGTGTGGGAGACTTTGTGGACTATTTCATTAGTATATTTCTCTCTGTAGTGATATTCATACATTAATTAAATATATTTATACTAAACTTGATATCTGATAGGATAAATACACCATTTTTTTCTTTGGTACTGTATCTTAAGTCTTCCAACTATATCAACTTTCCAAATAAATTTTCTAGTATTTAAAAAGTCACTGAAGATATTGGGAGCTGTGGTTCAATAACACTCATTTCAACCTGTCTTACTAGACACTGGCATTAGGAGAAGTCTCCAGTCCTATAGCATGGGTTGACCTAAGGCAGTGATGGCGAACCTTTTAGAAACGTGTGCCCAAACTGCAACCCCAAACCCATTTATTCATTGTAAAGTGCCAGCGCTGCAATTAAATCTGAATATTGAGGTTTTAGTTTAGAAAAAACCAACTAGTACATTAAGATCTTTTCTCTTAAAGGAAAAACCCAATAACACCAATGACATAAGTTTGCCATAGGTTCGCCGCCACTGATTTAGAGCAGCCCTTTGTCAGCACAGCTAGGGGCGAGGAGGACATGGTAGTGCAGGGGTGACAGTTTTCCCTCTGTGTGTATCTAGGAGTTAGATGTTCTGCCTGCTTTGCCTCAGAACTTCGGGTAGCATCTCCTGCTTTTGTCTCTCTACCTTCATACTTTTGGTGTAGACTGTGTCAATAAAACTTCGTACTGATCCCATTTGAGTGTATATCAATGGCATTTTGAGGGCACCTTCATGGCGTGGGACAGACTCATTTTTATCCGATTCTCAGAGAGTAAACAGGATAAATTAACAGTGGTTAATTTACCATTCATCATTTCAGTCCATGCTTGGCTGACTCTGGGGTTGAATTCTCTGTAATTCCATTTTAATAATATGTTGTGGAATTCAGGCAATTTATGCTACTTTCATTAGCTAATATTCAGTGCCTGGTTTGCTTTAGATGTTATTCTAAATGCAGAACATTCAGCAGTAGGAAAATAGACATGTTACAGCCTTTTATCGTGGGAAAATCTAATAACTAGGTAACCTATATAGGAATGTAAATATTAATTCACAATTGTGTTTAATGCCATGAAGGGAGACAGTAGGGCTTTCTATAAGTGTAACTGGAGGGAGACTGTGGAGCAATGTATATTTTCATCTATTAATGGATATTATGTAAAAATGAAAGCTGATTGAATTTGTAACAGAAACAGATTCATGCAGTGAATTTTCCATATAATTAACCTGTTCATTAATTTCATAATTATGTTGATTGAGCACTGCATAGGCTCACACAATGACCCTAGACTCAGCTTCTGTTTTTTGGGAGTTATAATTATTTAATAATTAGCTGTATTTCCCATTACAATAATTGCATACCAAATGGAAACAAATATATCTTCTTTTCCTTTTTCATCCTTTTCCTTCTCCTTCTTTTAGATGCGGATAGGCATTCACTCGGGCTCCGTGCTGGCGGGTGTTGTTGGGGTGAGAATGCCCCGATACTGCCTCTTTGGAAATAATGTCACTCTGGCAAGCAAATTCGAATCGGGAAGCCACCCTCGGCGCATCAACGTCAGTCCGACCACCTACCAGTAAGTGCGCTCTGACCTCTTCCCTCATGTCTTTGGCACTGACTCGAGCTGATCCCCTGTCATTTGTGAGAGTCTGTTCTCTGCCTTGATCCTGTCATTCTCCAGGATATGAGTAAATCTGCCTCGTCTGAAGGATAGTACTTGTGACACAAACTTTTTTCTGCACCTTGAGAGAGTGCGAGGAAAACCTGATTTGACTGAGAGGTAAATATAAGTTTGCTTTTTCCCACAGCCTCTGTCCTTCTCTGGTATATCTGTTTAAAATACAGGACAAGAGGTGCTAGGGGTCTGCTTTATTCTGTAAGTCCAATATTTCAAAATATTCCTCATCGCTTATAAAAATCAAAGGAATAAGATAGACAAGGTAGTATCTCCGTTTTTATTCTTTTGATTAATTAATATAAATAAGAAATTTAATGTAAAATTTCAAACTCTGTTCATTTTAAAGTTCTTTTTAACAGTGCCTCACATATTTGCCTCTTAAACTCATCCTCATTTTGTGTCTGGTGGATGTCATCTCCCCTCCCTCGATATTAAACTCTGTGTAGACAGAAACTGTCTGGTTTCACTCATCATTATATCCCAAGGACTTAGACAAAAATGCTTAACATTCTATAAACCTTCTACAGATATTTAATTAATTAATAAATAAATGTTCAACAAGACAGTCTTATTTAGAATAAATAGCAGAGAGCTATATGAAAATTTTTTCATACAGCTTTATAGGGGGCAGTGGTATGGAAGCTATTTGATTGGTACCACGTTTCTGATGACTTATAAATCATATTGAAATACTGTTAAGTAGAAGTAACAATGGCTTATTTTTATTAAAGTGATTGCAGGAAAACCCTGAAAATAAAAATAGTAAAATTTGATTATAATAATAAATAAAATGGTGATATTGTGATGCTTTTGATACCATATGCAATGAAAGAGAATTTAAGATCTTTTAGATGAAAGATATGTACATCCAGATTCCTGAGGAACAGAAGGGAAGGGAACTGAGATTGAGAGAAAGTTGAGATTGAAAATATATTTTTAAAGCTCTAAGCTATTGAGGTAATGAATACTTTCCTATCACTGTTTTGGGAAAAAATACACACTTTTTGCCAATTTAAGGATCCCAAGAGATTTATAGGTCCTGACAGAACTTCTGGCCCAAGCTCCCAGGGAACCACCTTCACTTAAGAACTACATACTATTTCTAGGATGTTGATAAGAGAGTTTTCTCCTTTTCAACTCTTACCAGTTTTCCTACCACAATTCCAGGTATCCATAATTGGCACATCAAATTGAATTTTGGAAACTTCTCCAAGAAAATCAATCATTCTGGCACCTTCTCCTCTAAACTGTAGATGAGAGTAATTTACTAAAAATCAGCGACTTCACCCATATCCTCTTACTGTGATCACATCATGGTATTAGTATTTATTTTCAGTGGTTGAGTAGCTTAGTGTGTGCCATTAAAAACTGATATGTAAAGGATCGAACAAGTGTGTGAGGAGTTCACAGCCTGAACTTAGACATCATAACTGTGGCTGGCTGTCTTTAGGTGGGACCAGCTACCCAAGGTCTGTACTCAGGTGCTGATTTGGAGATTTCATAGTATTTTCCACATTAATTGAGTTTGTGGTGATCCTTAGTGATTAATAAGGTCTGAAGAATAAACAACTCTAAACATGGAAGCATTTTGTTCTGTGATTGTCCTATAAACCCCTGTCAAAAAGACCAGGTAGAGCCATAGATAGACACGTTGCACTGCCATGTGGATCATTTCTAAGAGATATTTTCATGATCCCAATAATGTAATTCTTAATGACACCTTGTAAATATATTTCTACATTCAGTCCATTTTCAAATGAACCATTTTATTTCCTCTTCCCTTATGTTTCCCTTCTTTTAGCAAAGATTTCTTCATCAGCTCCTTATTATATTGCAAACACTGTAGTGGGCATTTAAGGTTCTAACAATGCATAGCATAGTTGTGATCTCTGTCCTTGTAGAGAACATCAGACTAGGTTTCACAGTATTTTAGAGGTACCTGAGTGAACAATTCATTATAAATAGACTACTAATGGGAACCAGAGACCCTGAGTTATAGTATTAGAGTAAGAAGACAAGTGGACTAAAAGGAAGATGGAGAAATGAATGGAAGCCAGCCCTGCAGGAACAGGTATGTCATGTTAAGGGAGTTCTACCTAACTCTAGGAGCAATGGAGAATGATGAGAACTTTCACACAGAAGAGAGCTTGATCAGATTTGTGCATTAAAAGATTACTAAGGCTGTAGAAAGGAGAATAGTTGGCAGGTGGAGGAGACAAGAAGTCCAGTGATTGAGAGCAGGTATTCTTATTTTGCTGACAGAATGCACAGCTGTTACCGAGAACCTGAGGTCCCAACCGTTAGTTATTTCAGTGTGGCTCTGATGTGTCAGCACCGTGGTTGGATTCCACGTCTTGATTTGCATTTTAACCCGGTGTGCCATTGAAGGAAAAGCAGTGTGGCTCCTGGTGATTCTCTAGACAGTTAAATTCAAAATTTCAAGGGTGTGATCCCAGTGTTCAGGGTTTTCATCTTCTGCATCTGATGTGCCTAAGTACCTATTCTTGTTTTCTTCTTAGTCTATCCCGTTCAGCCATGGGCACTTCTGTTAACTCCACACTGTGCAGGCAATATATAAACCTACAAAGATATAGCATACTTCTCCTGGGGGGCTCAAAGTGAAATGTCAGCATTGAACTTGCAGGAGAATTTTCTAAGGGACAAAATTGCTCATTCCTTGCACGAGTAGGGACTTGTGAAATAAAACCGAGTATCAGACTCGCGGGAGTTTGAAACCTCCAGTCTTCACCCTTGAATTAAATCCTGTAGAACATCCAGTATACCTGGTGATCTTGAAATCTTTTGAAAGGATTTTTATATTTATTTTAGTAATGTATATGACCATCCTAAACTTTTAAATAGTGAATTCATTTTTTGATATTATGATAAACTGAAATAATTTTCTGAATAGTTTATTCTGAGTACACTTTTCTTGAAATATTCAAATAATTGATGAATAAATACTTCTATAACAGTCATAAATACTGAAAGCTGAAAGGGTCTCCACTGTTTACTATTTTTATTTATTTATTTATTTATATTTTAAAAAATAAAAGGAGGAAAACATTAACAGACAGACAACCTTTTATAAAATAGCAAAAGAACAGTACAGACAATACAGAGTTACAAACAAAGTGGTAGGAAATTAACAATGCTTGTTTATTACATACTGATATCTTCAAAGTGGTTATTAATGTGTCCTTGATTGATCAATATTGCATGTTTGTATTTGTTTCCATGAGAAACCACTTTGTTTGCTATTTTTGCTTCAGCTCTTTTTTAATAAAAGTGAATCAATGCAAGTAATGCCAGCATTAGATATTGCAAACATGTACAAATAAAGGAAGGTGATCAAGAGATGGGGAGATGGAAAGGCAATGAAAAACAATGGACGGAGCATTTACTTGGAAATGTCCCTGCCTTTTGGTGTGACAAACATCCAAATGAATTTGGTGCTCTTCCAAAACCAGTGTTTCATATATTAATTTTTTACTCATGTATTCACAAGCCATAGAATTTTATTTTGCATGTTTTAATTTGTTAAGTGGTATTTTACTATACAATCTTTCTCTAACTTTGGTATGTTTTAAACAAAATTCCATATTTTTTAGGATATATTCAGGATGAAACATATTGCTCTGGCTCATCATTTAATCTCTATAATATTCCAGTGTATGATTATACCGTATTTTAATTTTTATTTGTTTCTCTCTTGATAAACACTGAGGTTTATTTTCTACTCTAAGTCTTAGAAGTATGTTCCTAATTATCTGTCATTTTATATTAGATTATTTTACCATTTCATCTGGTATAATTATTACCCTTCTTAAAAGTTAATAGAGTTGAAATGAATACATGCTGTTCACTTGAAAATTGTGGACCTACGAATAAATCAGGACCATAATTTTGATTTGATAGTTGTAATTTTTTTAAACTTCAAATGTGGGGGTCATCTGCATCCATGAAGTAATGCCCAAGGACCACGCCTCTCCACCTAAAACAATGTACTACTAGTTTTTCTCCCAACCAGAAAAAAAAATGATTTTTTTGCCATGAACTTTCTGTGTTTGATGTTTTCACTTTTCTCCAGTGAAAGTTATATTTTCTCTTGTGTTCCTGGCCATCCTTATTTAAAAAGAGTGCACATTTTATACACGTTGTTCCTGACATCATGCTGCTGACGCGGGAAACTGAAATAGTAGCTTACATCAAAGATATGGCTTCTGCAGCGTCTGAAGTGGCGTGAATAATTGAATGATTTGCCTGAGCAGAGTTAATTGTTTTTCCTTGCCATGTGCAAACTAAAAGTGTGGAAAGACTAATTACTTTGGTATGAAGTTTTCCTTAACTTTTAAGCATTTTTACTTTTCTCATTTTACAATTTATCAACTCAGATTTTTTAGAATCTCTGTTTACATCTACTATGAAAGACTCTTTTTCTACTAAAACTAAGCTGCGTTCTTACCCTGCTACTTAAGGACCTTTTCATATGAGAAAGAGAATAGGGCAGTGATTAAGTGAGCATGCTCAGAGTTAGATGCTTAGATTGGAATCCTGTCTTTAAAACTTAGCGTCTCAAGCAGGGATGTAGCTTAAGATAGAGCACTTGGATGATATACACAGGTTTTGGCTTCCATCCTTAGTACTGCAAAAAACAAAACAAAATAAACCTTAGTGCTGCTACTTAATTTCTTTGGACCAAGTTTCCTCATCTTTAAAATGAGTATCTATTTCAGAAGATTATTGTTTTGATTTAATGTGATGTTTATAATCTTTTGTGGGTTCTTTTTTAAAAACAGGGTTTCAAGATGTGATTCAGACTGGCCTTGAACTTACTATGGAGCCCAGGCTGTCCTAGAACTCACAGCCATACTCCTGCCTCAGCCTTCTTTGTGCTG